GTTGGTAATTAAATGGGTGGGATCTGGCGCCCCCTGGTGGCCCTCACCTCCTCTTGCTCCTCCTCGCTGTCGTCGTCACTGACGACGGGCTTGGCCCTCGAACCCCGGCCGGGCCGGCGCCGGCCCTTCCCGCGCTCCTGGCTCTTCTCCTTGCGCCCCAGCTTGATCTTCACCTTCACGGAGCGAGCTGCGCGGGACAGCGGGACACACAACAGGGGCGTGAGGGTGCTTCCTGCACAGCCAAGCAGAGCATTGCAAAGCCAGTAACATCGGAGGCTGCCAATCCCTCAGGAATGACCCCAGGCAGCTTAACTAGAGATGCCAGAGTCTCATATTTGCATCACACAACCGATTTCCATACATTCTCGGGTTGTTTTGTGCAAATGTTAATCATTGCAGTTCAGCATGCGAAGAAGCCCAGAGTGACCCTGCTGGTGCAAAGCAGCCCTGTGTATTCCTCTGCCACGCTGTACAACAAAAGCACTATCATGATCCCCCAGCCCTCCAGCAGGACTGGCACTCTCTCTAAAGTTTTCTAGCTACGCAGCCATGTTGTTGAAAAGTCAGTTTGCAAATATCCACATTTTCCAGGACATGTTTCTGCATGGTAAGTATTCTACATTGGGAGTATTTACATGTGTCTGGGACAGTGGATTAATCTTGTGGGAGATAGTATCTCCAATTACATCTTTTTCACACAACTGTAGGTGATGCAGGGCTCTTTAGTTTCTCGGTCTCAGGCATTAAGGTGCTGTGATTCAAGCTTAAAAAGAACAGCAAAAGGCTATTCTGGCTGCAGTACAGAGGGTATTTACAATTTCTGCAGCTTTCGCATCACTATCTGAACTAGACATAAAACCGAGGGCCTGACTCTCCATGGTCATTAAGAATCCAAGGGCAATTTTCAAAAACAGCAGGGGTATTACCCCGGTATCCTGGCCAAATTTCCCCCTGGCCTTTACCAATCATGGCCTCCTAATAATCCCCCTCTATGAATTGGCTTCATCACTCTGTTCTCCTCCCCACTGACAGCTGGTGTGTGGTGAGCTTACTGGTGCACTATGGCTGCAGTAGCATCATCCAGGTGGGGCTGCACATTGGTGGTGGTGGAGGGGATCCCCATTACCTGTAAAGCGCTTTGAGTGGAGGGTCCAGAAAAGCGCCATATAAGTGCAAGGATTATTTTTATTAGCAGTAGGGCAGATTGAAACCAAAGATGGACTGATTCCCTCTTGGGGCAGGTGGTGGAATTGCATAATTGCCAACTGGATCTTAAAAGGGACTCTTCCACGTTTAATGATAGTTTCTCTACATGCCATGATGTTAAATGCATCCAGTCTTAAAGCAGTTCAGGACACAGGACCGATTCCTTACACTCAGACTCGGAGCCTTCGTCCACCTCTTCTTCCTCCTCCTCGCTCTCGTCGCCCTCGCTGTCCTCCTCCTTCTCGATCTTCTGCCGCACGCTGGTGAACACGGACTGCAGCACGATGGAGTCCTCGTAGATCTGCAGGGACAGGGAGGGGAAGCGTTCGCGACTCCTGAACACTGAACGGATTCCCGCACAGCTGGAGACAGGCGGCTGTACGATGAAACACGGCACCTCACTATCCACAGCTTTCAGCCATGTTTGCAGGAGGCAGCAGATATGTCTTTCAGAAAGAAAGGAGTTAATTTGCAGTCCGCCCCGACAGCAACCACTTCAAAGAAACAACACTAGTCTTATCTAAATGTTGCAAAACCCTGCTATATGGATATGAAAAAATCATTTATATAACTGGTGACTGTGTGGAGTTTGTATGTTCTCCAGGTGTTTGTGTCCAAAGACACACTGGTAGGTCCACTGGTTATTTGGAAAATTGCCCCTGGTGCCAGTGCGCTTGTGTTTGTGTCTGTGTGTGCCCTGTGATGAACTAGCTAGCCTACCCTGCTCTGCTCCCCCACAACCCTGTAATGTTCCAAGTACTCATGTTCTATGATCTAAGGTTCCAAGTTTAGTTAGAAACCGGATGGATGGATTACTGGTTGTGAAAGCTCCCTGAAAGTCGAAGAAGTTAAAATAAAACACCCAATCACTAGCCGTTGAAAACTAGGGTGTGCATTTTAAGTTACTTTTTTGGGGGAGGGAGGGTGGGAGGCTTCCTCTGTCCTCCACATCTGCTGAGCGGTCGGGGAGCTGGTGTGTCTGTTTCAGTGAAAGCGCGAGCGCGGGCACGGCGTCTCTCACCAGCGAGCCCTCCAGGTTGAAGGTCTGTGCGTTCTGGCACAGGAGCATGACGTCCTTCTCCAGGTCGTTGAGGCTGCGGTACTTGTGGTTCCGGATTCTCTCCTGCGGCAAAAGACGGGAGCAGTTTTGGCATAAGATGGCCTACCTGACAGTTCCATCATCAAAGACAGAAATGAAGGGATTCACAGAGGGCTGGGAAAAATATTATGCGTCACCATGTAGGAAAGACTATACCGCTCTGGAATCAGTCCAAAAAGAGGACAAAAGGTTAACTGATCCTGGCCCTAGGGGAACATCCTGTACCGGTTCAAGGAACTGAACCTTGTTAGTCTTGAACAGAGGAGCCTTTGTCCTCAAAGACTATGGACAAAGTCAACCTGGATAACCGGATTTCAGGACTAAAATTAAAAGCCCTTCTCACAAATAGAAACTAAGAAAGTTTATGATTGAAATGAAGATTTGTAAGAAGATTTGGAACAATTTGCTCGCCGACATGTTATGGAAATAAAATCTCTTGGATCCTTCAAGAAACACAGATCCCCGGACCACTGAGCTACTAGCAACATTTTAATAGTTAACAAAGCTGAAACTCTGCAGTGAAAGCATGACTGGCTCTTAACAGAATACGACAATGAGATCAAAGTGCTCATGCTCTAGAACACCAGGCACTGACGTACAGTACGTGACAGATAGTCCCAGACTGCTGCTGATTTAGCACTTAGCTTTGAGGATACTGATCCCCACGACCATTGCTTACAGTTCTTTAAGGTGCTGCAGAGGAAAGACAGCCCACTACGTGCTGCTAGACAATGCCTTGTCCCCTGTGCCAAACTCTCTGATGCAGAAGCACTCGTCTTCTGCAATATAACACTTTCAAAAGAAAGACAACAGTCTACCTTTCCAAGAAGCCTTCATCTTAGGGTCAATTGCTTCCTATAGAGAAATCCACAGTATTTTAACACAGTGCTTTACATTTGTACACCCTGTATTCCTAAGGGGTATGTATCACCAGCTCACTGGTAAATGCTTAAAATCTCTTTTCTACAGCTTTTGTATTACCACATAAAATCTTTAGTGAAAAATGCATTTTCCTTACTTGGTAGACAGCTGATCTGATAAGCAACTTGTCTCAAAGCTTTTCCAGGAAAGCACTATTGAATGTTTCAAGAAGGGTTAATAATTACACATAGGCTTGTTCCAAAACACCACAATAGAACACTGATCCTTTAAATCTAAAGGAACAGTGTTAATTCATTCATTTTCATCTGCTTAGTTTATCCAAAACAGGTGGACATGTAATTGATGTTTTTCGCCTTTAAAAGCCAATAAGTGCAAGCAGTGAGACTTGCAAATATTTTATATAACCTCCCTAAGCAACCTAATATAAATAACTTAACTAAGCGATTAAAACTGTTTTAACTGGACAATTAATACACACATGCAAAATAAACAACTAATCAACCACTGTTCTGATTTCACATGATCAAACTCTGGACAGAGCAAGAAAGCAATCAGCAGATTTTCAAGTTGGCTTTCACTTTTTTGGGATCCACAAAAGTCTAAAATGCCCGACTGAAAGAAGCTTTGTTTCTTGACCCAGGGGGATCATTATGTTCCGTTAAAAAGGGTAAAAAAAATGGAGGCCACTTAGCCCAATCTGAATCCATCGGATCCTGTTTGTAGTTATTAGCCAACGGATCCCAGGATCTCATTCAAACATTTATTAAAAGAATAAGGGTATCGGCCTCAACAACATGACTCGGGAGCTTGTTCCAGACTCCCACCACCCGTTGTGCAAAGAACTGCCCCCTGTCCTCACTGAAGGAACTCTTCCAGCTGTTTCTCGAAAGAAGCCATGGTATGGATCTCAACAACATGGCTGGGTAGCTTGTCCCAGACTCCCGCCACCCGTTGTGTAAAGAAGTGAAACAGAAGTGAGGGGCTGCTGCCCTACCTTGATCTTCTTGAAGTCCACAGGCTTGCGAATCAGCTCGTAGTACTCGGGCAGCTCCTTGCGGGACGGGAGCTGGATAAACACTTCGCTCAGCTGCCGGCCATTACTGCTGTGAAAAAGTAGGGGGTGGGGGCCAGGTGAGAAACTGGCCGTCAAAACTGACCACCACGGGCCTCAGACCGCTCGCCACCCGGGGACAGACTGTTAACACAGCCTGCTGGTTAACGCTTATCTTTCTGCATCTTTAACCTTCCCCCTCACATGGTTTGCTTGCGAGTCTAAATCAAGGTAAAAAATAATAAAAGATTGTGGCCAAAGCAGTTCTGGGTATCTGTGCTGTAAACAGAACGAAGTAAAGGACCCCTCTGTGCAGGTCATAAGCCCAGTGCAGGTATTATCCCAGCATTCCTGGTGCCCTGGAGCTTTCTGGGTAGTATCCTGTTTAGGGATAAAAGTGCGGCGCCCACACCTAGGACTTGAACCCACCCAGCTTTAACACACTGCTCTCAAGTCCTAAAGAAGAGAGTAAAAATATCTTATTGCATCTAAGCGAATCCTGTAACAAGCAGCTGTTGCGAGCTACAATGGGTCAGGAGAGCAAGCGAGGGGGAAGGCTGTGGAGCAATGGTCAAGAAAATATCTAGAACTAATTCTCCGGGCTGGACTGCAGGACAACGGGCACCAGGGACTGAAACCCAGAAAGAGAATTGAAGTTCTTTGTGTGTAAAAAAACAGATCGTGGCACCTCTCCTCAGCAGAGAGGCGGGTAGAGTGCCCACAGTGCACGGATAAACCCAGGAGCAGGTGGCACAGCTGCCAGGCCTCGGCCTCTCACTGCGGGCACCCCTCCCTGGGGGGCAGCCCGCCCCTCACCTGTCCTTGTACTTGATGACGGCGTCGACGATCTTCTTCATCTTCTTGGTGAGGTTGGGGGGGTTGGGGGAGAGCTTCTCGGCGGGCGGCCGGCCGCGCTTCTTCTGCTTCTTGATGTCCTCGTCCTTCTCGCGGCTGCGCGTGCTGGTGGTGGGCGTGGAGGGCGCCCCCAGGTCCAGGTCACGGTCGCGCTTCCTCTTGCGGGTCGTCTTCTTCTGCCGCACCTCCTCCTCGATCTCCTCCAGGGTGCCTTCTTCAATCGCCTGCAGGAGGAAGGACAGGCAGCG